TCACCTGATATTGTGTTGTCGTCTTAAGTTGTGGTCTCATTTACTCCTGACAGAGCGCAGGACCACCCAGGTTAGTTACTGGGATGATCCGGGATGAAATTTTTTGTTGCGGTCACACTTACCCCGGCAGCACTATGGTAATTTCCAACTAACACCCATGATTCCCCCGGACCATCCAGGCAGAGCCCAGGTGAAGCTCTGGTTCATGCCGGTGCTTACCTGGTCATTCCTGGATGACGCCGGCAGAGCCCCAGTTGACCAAGGCAGAGCCCCAGTCGATCAAGGCAGAACCCAGGACGATTTTGGCAGAGCCACGGTTATAAGAACCCAGTGGATTGAAAACTGCAAAAATGATGACGTTGATACATAATTTTCATTCTCCAATTTAATAAGTAATTCATGATGATTTTCTGAATAATCCTTATGAAAGACTGGACAGAAGGGAAATGGGGAAGGGTTTTATTACAAACAAGTGCAATCATTGCAAATTGCCGTACTTCTTTTGAAATGAACCGGGCTTTGCCGGGGCTCTACAGGGATCAACAGTAGCTCCATCGTCATCCTCCGTGGCTCTGCCGGCTTTCACAGGGGCTCTGCTGGCATTCACCGGGGCTCTGCTGGCATTCACTGGGGCTCTACTGTAGCTCTGCCGGGTATATCATACCCAAGATCATCCCTAGTTTGTGTCAGCAGAGCTACAGTGCTTCCCTTGCGTAACCTTGTTGTTCCAGGGAGGGCTAAGGATGAAGCCGGTAAAGCTATACCTTCCCGGATCACCTCTGTGATATTAAATATTTTATTCCATCCGGGGTCGAATGCCAAATGTTTCGGATCATCCCGAACGTTGCAGGCAGAGTTATGAATGTATCCATGTTGTTCCTGGATCATCCCCGGACATCTACCAGGGCTCTGCCAGGGTGTGAGACCACAGCTTAAAGCTAAAATTTTCTTCAATTATGTCCAACCAGCTATTTAAAGCATCACTTTCAGTAACATTATCTGATTTCTTACCATCATCCATAGCCCTACCTTTAATATCATCACACAATTTCTCACAGGCACATAAAACCCTTTAAGATGGTGCATGATCATTACTGGCCATGTACACTTAGAACTGTTTCCCTTTTAAAAAATCAATAATTTCATGAGTGGAGTTGACTGCGAAACAGTTCTAAGTGCTTAAGTTTTCTTCCAAAAACAAGACATCTACTCTGAAACTAATGAATTTCTTATGTTATATTGTTTAATAATATACAATAAAAGGTTAAGCTTTCAAAATTGCTTTGATTTCACTTATTTCAATGCAGTTTGAGTCGTTTTTATTTAATCTTGTTCATTTTATAATCAATGAAAGCGAAAAGGTTCTAACTGCCATTTGCAGTTAGAACCTTTTCGCTTTTTAAAGAAAATGTTAATTTCACTTAGAACCTTTGGACAATTTTTCATTTCACCCTTTTATAAGTAAACTAAATCTTATATATTTTGACATAAGATGTATATGGGTGTTTATGTTACAAATATATAAACAAGAGCTGTCCGTAAGACAGCGCGCTCGACTTTTTTAGTGCTTGCCTATAATACAAAACATTGACAGTTAAGGGCCATAATTCAAATAAAATCTTTGACAGAATTACCTTCTCCTGGACATGTTTGGGAATCATGATTGTAAACAAGTATTCCAACTTTCAAATTAATATCTCAAACAGTTCAGTCAAAAAGTGGACTGGTACTAAAAACTTAACCAAGATTCTAAGTCGATAAAAGGCCTTAATTTTTAAAACAAATCCTTGACAGAGTTACCTTCTCTTGCGTACAGATGGGGGTAATGATGTGAAATAGCATTAAAAGTTTCAAAGCAATATCTCAAAGGGTTAAGGCAATAAGTGGATTTTACCCATATTCAATGTATTTTCTAAGTCAAAAAGGGGCATAATTCTGTCAAAAACCTTGACAGAGTTATGTCCTCTTGTCTGTTGATGAAGGTCGTGATGGTAAACAAGTATGGTCAGTTTCAAAGCAATACCTCCAATGGTTTTGAAATAAAGTGAGGTGGTACAAAAAACTTAACCAAGCTCAATACACTTTCTAAGTCAAAAAAGGGCCATAATTCTGTCAAAAACCTTGACAGAGTTATGTACTCTTGTCTGTAGATGGAGGTTATGATGGTGAACAAGTATGGTAAGTTTCAAAGCCATACTTGTAATACTTCTGAAATAAAGTGGGGTGGTACGAAAAACTTAACCAAGGTGTGACGCCAACGCTAACGCTAACGCTAACGCCGACGCCGACGCCGGGGCGAGTAGGATAGCTCCCCTTTTCATAGAAAAGTCGAGCTAAAAAGTGAATTTTGTAAAAAAAGTGAGTTAGAACCTTTTCGCTTTCACCCCTCGATATGCTCCCCCGAAATTTTTCGGGGAGCATAAAAATGAGCATAATGAGTAAATTTAAGTGCAACTGTCACAAGGTTTCTACAGACAGTTTCAGACTAACTATTTATGATGAGTATGTTCCTATCGTACCTTAATGGTTCTGTACACATTTTATTAGCCAAAGCATTACACAGCAACGATATAGATTGATAAGGAACAATATTTTCTCAATGTTTATTCACAAAATTTGATGCAAAACACTATGTTTCATACAAAATCTAACACTTAATCTTCAATTCTTCTTAAATTCAGGTACTGAAAGTTTATTTGAAAATCCTCATAATTATATCTATATTAAAACTGTGAAGAGGAAATTATGTCAATAAACCACATTAAAAGTTCAAAAGCAATGCATTAAAATAATAAGTGGCTCTGTTTCATAATAATCCTGTACGATATATCTTAGTAACAAGTTATTTCCCTAATTCTCTAGCCTTCACCATCTCCTGACTTCCGTACATGTCTTCCCTTTCTTTAAACTGACCTTGTGTTGGTACATAATACCATCCTGTAAATGAAATAATGAACATTAAATGTATATTAAATATCAATTAATACACTTGGTTTCTATACAAAATGTATATTAAATATCAATTAATACACTTGGTTTCTATACAATATGTATATTAAATATCAATTAATACACTTGGTTTCTATACAAAGTAACAAAGGTGAAAACAGTTTTAACTTATTACAAGTGTCACATGACTGATATTGAGTTTGTGGCCCGGGGCTTAAAACTGGCCCCCTGTACAACAGAATGTGCAAAAGCAGAAACAATGACGTCACATATATTAATTATTAAGTCTTACATGCTTTACATCAAAACAGGTAGGACTGATGAGCATGGTATAATAAAGGAATGTATACACGCCAGGTCGACTATTCTTAGTGCTTGATAGTTAAAAAAGCCTTGAATAAAAGGTTAAATTTTCTCAGTAAAGAAAAAGGCAAATTTTTTCTTTAAATCCATATTACAGTTATAGGCATTGGAGAGAGTCCTATTATGTTCTCAATGAAGAGTATAAAATTTCAACATGTTTCAAAGCCTTATGTCAATGAACTTTGAAAATATTTAAGGTATAACAAAAACTTTAACGTAAATTCTAAGTCGAAAAAGGGGCATAATTCTGTCAAAATGCTTGATAGAGTTACCTCCTCCTGTCAATAGGTTGGGGTAATGATGGTGAACAAGTGTGCAAAGTTTCAATGGACTTTGAAAACATTTGAGGTATAACAAAAACTTTAACTTTAAGTCTAAGTCGAAAAAGGGGCATAATTCTGTCAAAATGCTTGATAGAGTTACCTCCTTCTGTCTACAGGTTGGGGGGGGGGGGGGGGTACGTGACATTGACCCAATATAGGTCATATCGCCACGTTTCAGCTTTACTGGTGGAGAAAGACCTCAGGTGCCCTTCCTTGCATTATTTCAGGCACGAACGGGCACCTGAGTAGAACCATCGACATTCCGTATGCTGGTTGGATAGTTTCCTCACATGAAATAATCCAAAGTTTTTGTCGGGATTTCAGCCCACAGCAGTTAGGGGCAAGTGGTTTGACGTCAACAACCTTAACCACTCGGCCACGGAAATAACTAAGCTATAGGTACATTTCTGTGATATTTTTAAGTAAGGGAAGACGACAATTATGTCAAACTTTCAGAGTCATGATACTTGACACACACACAGATGTCATGTTTGTCCAGATATTAAACACTTCTATATTTTTTTTCTAAAAAGTTAAGGTAAAACTGAAGTGCATACTCTTTGTTTAATAAAGAGCCATAACAGTAGGCCTCATACTTTATTGTTACAGAATGAATTCTATTGTTCTTTTTTTGTTCTTTTCACAGTGAGATGACTCCATATCCCTATTCTGTCATGCGGAAAGGCAGACGGTGGCAAATTAAAAGGGAACTAACAACAGACAAGTGTTAAATCGTGTAAATAAAATTAAAATCAGACAAGGAAGATAGACAATTACCTTTATTTTCAGGTTTCTCTTTTTGAAGACATCTTACCTCCATTTGCAGTATACTGAATTATACAAAATATATGTATATAAACACATTTTCAATACAATTAAATCTATTTGAATATTCAGACAATATGAAAACAACCTGTCAAAAAGAAGAATATAAAGTTATGGTTTTGACTGTCCTTCATGAATGACTTTATCAAACCAAGCATGAAATTTTCATGTAATTTTTTAATAAATGCTTCCCGAGGGATCACTGCTTTCCCTGACTTTACATATATCGTGGATCTTTAGCTGTAGAAAATTTAGTTCCTCTTTTTCATCATTGCTCAGGTCAACTGCTCACAAAAAAGTACATTTGTATAGGCCCCTACAATACAACAAGAAGAGCCATGATGGCCCTTATTGAACTCACCTGAATATAAATATTCTCAATACAAGGAACAAAGTTATATTGTTAAAGATCCTGCATGTTTTGTGATTGATATTGTTAATGTATGTGTACCACACTTAAAAGAAATTATATATGCAAATAAAACAATTTTCAAACATCGAAGAAAGTGTTAAATATCGCGGGCTTAGCGCAAAACGGTTGTAACTCAATTTAAGCAAATTTTACAGGAGCATGAAAAAACTTTTTAAAACTTTTGTTAATGAATAAAAATGTTTCATTTTAGGAAAATATATACATTTTAGTTAAGGAATTAGAAAAAAAATAAGACAAAAGAAGCAAATTATTTTTTGAAAAAAGATATTTGAATAAGTTCAAGTTACAACCGTTTTGCAAATAAAATTTTGATAATTTGTTACAATATTTTTTTGTGCAAAAGGGTAGTATCTCAAGTTACAACTGTTTTCCGCACAAATTTTGAGCAATTTTTAATTATTTTCTTTGTGCAAAACGGAAGTATCTCAAACTCACATCTTATTTATAGGATGTAATAATTGGATAAAATAAAACATTACTTCTAAATCACATAAAATACATGTAGCCATTATAAAATAAGATTATAATATGTGCAAGTCATGTTTAGAATGATAAAAAATAATGAAAGTAAGAATAATCAGTAAAAGTTTGAAGAGAATGAATGTCCTCAATAGAGAATAATATAGCCTATACCACTTTATTTAAAAATATATTATGGGATAAGCTAAAATCATTTTTAGCTCGACTTTTTTTTTTGAAAAAAAAATAGAGGTATTGCTACAGTCAGGTCGGCGTTGCCGTTGCCGTTGCCGTCCGAAAACTTGTACCTGGATCATAACTTTTTTATTTCTTTGTGTATTGTCTTCATACTTGGCCACAACAACCCTTGGGACAAGACCTTTCAGTAGACCACACTAACCTTGACCTTCACCATAAATGACCTTGACCTTCAAGGTTAAAAGTCCAAATTTTTGCTTGTTCATTGCTGTTATTGGCTGTAACTTTGTTATTTTTGAATGGATTGTCTTCAAAAACTTGAACATAATAATCTTTAAGGATATCCCTTAAAAATAACCAGCCAGACCCTTGACCTTCACTCATAAATGACCTTGACTTTGAAGGTCAAATTATTGAAATTTTCATTTTTTTTTGGCTTTTTATTGGCTGTAAGTTTTGTTATTTTTGAATGGATTGTCCTGAAACTTGAACATAATAATCTTCAAAGATTACTGTTAAAGATATACCGGAAAGACCTTGACCTTCACACATTAATGACATTGTCTTTGAAGGTCAAATTATTGAAAATTTTTCATTGTTTTTTGGCGGTCCACTGACTGTAACTTTGCTATTATTGAAGGGATCAACTTCAATATTATTAGAGAACATTCTTAAGGACCAGACCTTGTTGTTTATCAAACCCAACTTTGCTTGGGCTCTTAAAATGAAACCTTGACCTTGAAGGTTAAATTACTGAATTTTCTCAGATTTTGTGCAGTAAATGACCATATTTAAATATTTATTGGTGTGTGTGTGTCTATATATATATATTTACAACAACAACAACAATAACTAAAATTGTGTCATTGTTTCTATTTATAGAATTGCGTCATTGTTTCTATTTATAAGAATTGCGTCATTGTTTCTATTTAGAGAAATTGGTCATTGTTTTTTTTTGGGTTTTTTTTTAATAGAAATGCGTCATTGTTTCTATTTTTAGAGATTGCATCATTTTTTCCTATTTTTAGAAATTGCATCATAATTTCTATTTTTAGAAATTGGCAATCATTTTTTTTTCTATTTTTTAGATATTGCGTCAATAATTTTCTATTTTAAGTATTTTTAGAGATTGCATCATTTTTTCCATTTTTAAAAATTGTGTCATAATTTCTAATTTTTTTAGAAATTGCGTCATAATTTCTATTTTTTAGAAAATTGCGTCATTGGTGCTATTTTAAGATATTGCGTCATTTTTTCTATTTTTTAGAAATTGCGTCATAATTTCTATTTTTTAGTATTTTTAGAGATTGCATCATTTTTTTTTCTCTTTTTAGAAATTGCGTCATAATTTCTATTTTAGAAATTGCATCATTGGTG